CTTTGCCAGTGATTCTTTAAGCATCCGTACGATATCCGCAATGCTGTCAAAAGAACTGCGATGTAACCATGGGAGTAGCATGCTGAAGAACCTGTCAACGTCTTCATGGGTATGTCCCTCCTGGAGATACAACATTGTGAAGGTGTCCACCTTTCGACCAGCAACCAACCAGGCAGCAAACAGATGACTGGTCGAGTTTTTCGACCAGGCACAAGTGTTGTCCGTCTACAGCACTATGTGCTGAGGCAGGGGACCCTTGTTATGGCAATGCTGCAAGACGCGTAGCAGCTGTTCAAGCATGCAGTCCGCTCCATGAGTCAGCACCTCTGCATCCTGGGCAAAAACAGCACTGCAATGTCCGTGAGCCAGCACTGCCGTTATGACACATTTTGGGCGGGTCAACTTCTCTAGCTTGGCAGGCATCTTGCTGAGGCGAAGTCGTGGATAGCTCCATTTGCCCTTGTCCATGGAGTCGGAAATTATGGTAAGGCAGTTCATACCTTTGCCGTGCACTGCCGCAGTCAAGGACTGACACTACTATGAATCTAGAAAACCAGGTAAAAACAGTGGGAGACATACAACATGAAGACCAAGTTTCCCCTGCATCTGGAACTGTACCGGAAGCAATAATACAGTAGTCTGTCGTGATACTGGTCGGCCAGATGCTGCCTCCACTCTTGCGCCAGCTGGATTTTCTGAGAAGCTGAGACCCCCCGCTTGTGCAGCAGGGCACGCTTCTCATAGCAGAAGCTGCATTCCTTGTGTTGGCTTTCCTTCCTGAATCTCAGCAGTTTCTGGGCCCAGTTCTTCCGCCAGCAACAGAAGAATGTAGTCCAACATGGTATGGATTCAGACTGGTCCTTGCTGCCCTGAACCATGCCTTGTCCTTGACACCACGCAAGAAACTGTAACCAGAGGTCTGTAGGCTTGCCAGGCGGGAGGTGTCGGCAAGGAGCCTCTCCTGAAAGCAGCGCGGAAAGTCTCTCAGAAAGAGGCGCCTCGGGGGCCCAATGGATTGTCTTTAATTTAACTTCTGCAGCGGATTCGATTGAAACATCCACATTCTGGAGGACATTCACTTCCGGCAAATCTTCAGCTGCAGAAATGTACATCTCCATGAAAAAATGATTCACCAGATTCTCTTTGTCATGTGTCCGGGGAACATTCAGCCCCCGCTTGCGTCGATCTGGTGCACCATGGCAGTACCTGCCAACTGTGCTCCGGGACTGTCCAAGAATCTTGCAGAAGCCTTGGAAGCATACTGCCTGCTGCTCAATCTGCCAAGTCCTGCGCATGAAATGATTGCCATCAAGAGAACTTGGAGAATCCAAGCAATCATAGTCCTCCCCCATGTATAAAGCATGCAGCAGCTGCATTCGTGACTCTACCGACAGCCGGTACCATGCCTCCACAATTTGAGAGACAGCTTTGACCTTCATAGCTGAAAAACATTTTTTGGAGCATCCACATTTCCCCTGCAGCACAGCAGCCAACCGTGCCCTGTCCAAACCATTCTTGACATACACAGTCTTAGTCTGCTCTGAGGGAAGGCAGCGAAGGAGGTTTAATGTCAAGACCACATTTACAGCTTTCGTTGACTTTGTGTCAAGGTTGCTGGCAAGTTCCGAGCCACTTCCATCAAGAGCCATTTGTTTCCATGACTGTGAATCCATTGGAGCACATTCCAGCTGAACTGGGGTATCCGGCTCATCCATGGGCATACTTTTCCAGGACCTGCTCGCTGCTGCAACTGCATAGCTGCCAGTGTCGTTCAAGCGGAGTCTTTTCCAACTGCATGAAGCATTGACACAGGTTGAAGCATCCGACTCTAAAGCAAACTGCTTCCACGTCCGGCAGCTTGCTGGCACAGGTGCAGTACTCTCATCCAGCGGCAAGCACTTCCAGGATTCGGCCATGGCAGGTGGTGCAGAAACAGTGACATGAACCTTCAGATTGAGTGCCACAGATTGTAGACATCGATAAGATTTGCCGTTGAGTCTCTGAATGATATGCCTGGAATATTCAATCGAAGTCTGCTTAGACTATTGCCTCAAGCTTTCACAATTTTTAAATACCCAAACGCCCCTGGTCGAACCTTGCAGCATGCAGAACTGTTGATTGGCAAGGTCTGCTCAGCCGGACTCCACAGACTTACAGCCAAGCTCCCCACATCAGATCCAGTGTCAAACCTTGGCAAGCATTACGTGGGAAGGCAAGATGAACACTGGCAAATGCTGGCTTTCCAGAAAGTCAGTCTGCACAAAGAAGCAAGAACTGCCGTCCAGCCATTTTCTGCTCATGGTTTCCCAAAAACATGCCCAATGGCAAGAGATCTCTGGAACCCATGTCCATTGCGAATCTGTTCTCTCGGAAGTTGCAGCTAAGCCAGGCTCTTCAAACAAATCTGCTTCTATACGCCTACATACTACATGAACACCCAGTGCAAAGCTTCAACAAGTGCCTNNTCCCACTTTGGACAGTCACCTGGCCCTCAACCCGACTGTGCAGACTGGTTTGCCTGCTTCCAGGATTCCAAGGCCTTCTGGAATTTGACTTGCGGTGATGCATCACTTTGGTCTGCCTCGATCTCTTTCTTCATGGCAAGCAGGAAAGATGTTTGGTCAGTTGCCATCTTCTTTCGTTTCTGGGTGCCATTCTTGGTCTGCATGTTGTGGTAAGCTTCCTTGATGCTGTCGAAAGTTGCCCTCAATGCTTCATCTTTGGGCGGGCGTCGGCCGGCGAATGTCCCGGCATCTCCCCTCTTTTTTCTTGGGGTTTTGTCTGCAGAACGAGGTTTGGCAAGCTTGTCCGGATTGGCCTTGCCACATTCTGCCACCAGCTTCTCAACTGCTGGACGTGCCTTGCCACGAACTCTGATCAGAGGCACAGACACAGGATTCCGTGACTTTACACCAGAGGCATCATCAGGCGTGGAGCAGCGCTTGGCTACTGGTGTGCCAGCGTCGGGCACATGTTTTTTTGTGCCTGCTGCTGTTGGCTTCACACTCAGACTCTCTGCCTCTGAGAACTCATCATCAGAGGGAGTGGCATTGATCCAAAGCTGTGCCATGCTGATGAAACAATAGGGATCTGAGGGACTGCCCAGGCTGAACCATTATATGGCAGCAACACATGAGGTAAGGTGCATGGCTTATGCACCTTGATAGCGAAAGCACAAGCTGGCAACAGGAATGGCTTCTGATAGGGCCCCTGCAACTTCACTCGGAAGACATGGATGGATGTCTCAGGCCTGAGCAACACTGCGCAAATACAAGCAAGCAAGCAACTCTCCACTTGCTCAGGCCCTGAAGGCAAAACAATGCACACACAGAAGTTTTGTCACCAGATTCTCCTTGTCCTGCAGGAATTAGATGCCTGGCTTGTATGCAGGCTTCTGCATTGCAGTGGCAGGAAGTAACAACACATTCATGTGGTTTCTGGAAAAGCCTAGTCTGACAAAGATATCACGGAAGCAATGGGTCTGAAACCACAGGATGTGTTCAAAGCCTTCATCACTTCATCACTTCATTCCAAGCTTAGCTTCTTCCAGGAACAGGAAGGCTTTTTGCACGGAGAGGCATCCAAGGCCAAAGACTTCCAGGCAGCTGCTGGCTTTTTGGCCACTCCAGCAGCAGGTTGGAAATGGTTCAGCCACATACTCACAATTGACTTGGCCATTCTGGTTGGGTATGCACCAGCCTGTACCAGTTTCTCTTTGCAGCCAGTGTAACTGAAAGTGCCATTGGGACGGCGTTTCTTTATCACCAAGCTCGTGTGCTCATGATCACCACTGCAGCGTTTCGCTAACCCAGGAAGCCATGTAACATTGCTGGCCAAAGCAAATGACTTCTTGTAGCGAGGCCCTGTGGAGAAGCAGCAGCGGTCGAGCACTGTGATGGCGAGGCCCAAGGATTTTATCAGAGAAGCTACCGGACGAAAGGACCAGAAGAAGTTTCCCATGGGGTTCTCCATGATCACTTGGCAACCGAGCTGCACTGCAACTAGAAATAGCATCACAGCAGCACTTGCAATTTGATTACCAAGCTTGACAAACTTGCGCCTGACATCTCCAGCCGGCCGCTGACGGCTGCGCTTGCTCTTGCTGACACACAAGCTGCAAAATGAACTGCAGGGTGGTGCCAGCCACACCAACCCTCCTTGCTGCACACGGCCAATAATTTGCACGGCACGTTGCAGACCTTCTTTACGCAAGATGTTCTCGGCCTTTGAGTCTAGAATGTCAAAAGTGCAACAGCTGTGGTCTGCAGCTGTCACTGCCGCATGAATCCGCCCTTTGCCGGAGAAAATTTCTGCAGCATCAAGGTCTTTCTCCATGCCGTTTGCCATGTGAACCATGTCCTCAACGGTAAGCCCGTGCATGTGCAAAACAGCTGTGGATGCGGGCAGGTGGTGCATNNNNAACGGGCCAAGTCAACTTGAGCAGAAACACTGCAAATTTCCGGTTCTGAAGCTTGCATTTACACACATCCTGCAAGCAGAACTTGGCAACAACAATGGTTTCTGATAAGGCCCCTGCAATTGGACTGCAAAGTCCTGGATGCATGTGTCTGACCTGTCAGCAAGAATTTCTTACCAAAATGAGAATCACCACAATGTAGCTGCATCCAAACAGACCTCATATCCATTCCAACCTCGAGATGCTTCCAGGCCTCCGCAACACATGCTCTGATTAGTGTCGGACACATTGACATGCACGGATTTCTGAGCAGATTGTGCACAGCAGGAGTTTTGCTGCCGCGCAGTTCATTTGCTCGTGTTCTGGCAAAGTAACCTGCACCGACCTCCAAAACTGCTGACTCCATGCGAGTCTCTCCATCGCAGAGCGAACATAGCAAAACAGATTGCAACAAGCACAGCTCTCTGGAAGATACACTAGCCCACAGTGTTGATGGCTACTGCAGCTGCTTGCCTCTTGGTATTTTGGCTTGGTGTCTTCCATAGACCTGCAAAACTGCTTCCTGCAAGTCCGACTCCGGAGCTCAGCTCAACGGATAAAGTTTCCCTTGCTTGACAGTCACATCGCCCTTGAGGAAAATGCCGGGCTTCTGCGGGAAAATACCTACCTGCTGCTTGGTGTCCATGTACTTCATGCGCTTGCGAGCCACCAAGTAATCGCTAACATCCGGGAACTTGAGATCGGTCAACAAGGAGGCAGCATTGTTTTCGTTTGCCTTTTGGTTGGCTGGGAGCTTCTTCAACTCGAACGCCCACTCCTCAGTGGCCTTGATATCGAAGCCACCACTCTCCTTAGACTGGACATTGCCGCATCATTGCAAAGTTTAACATCACAGCCTAGTGGAACATGATTTGCTAATATGCCTAGAAACGAGGGCCGAAATCTTGTGCGCCACCACATCTGGGTTGACCACTCCTTTGCTTTCCAGGTAGGTCAAGAACGTGGCCAAGCTTGCAATGCGGCCTTCAAATGGCGGAGTAAGCTTGTCGGAGGAGTCATGAAAAAAGTAGGCATCTTCCTTGGTCAAGTCAGCCTGCCACAAGATTGCACCTTTGTCTTTGCGAGCTGTGACTTCATCCCCAGTGCGATACTCACCCCAGGCAAGAAGAAGGAAGCTATTGGAGCTGATCTCGCAGTCCTGCAGTGCATTCAGCCACAACTTCTTATTGTGGTCAATGACAATCTCGAACTTCCCCTTCGGAATGCTCACTACAGGGTCTGGCAGGTCATCAAGCTTCATCTCGCTTTCTTGCAGGGCAAGGCTTTCATTCTTCGAACCACCAGGAGGCAAGCCAGCCACATCCGCTGGACGCTTTTTGGCCACCCATGCTTTGCCGCTCGGATTGTAGATCTTGTTGTGAGATGCTTGAAGGGCAGCAAAGTCCTCGCTGCACCTGGTAAACTTCAGGCTCTCAGAGTCCAAGACTTCCTGATTGAACGGCAAAGTCCACTTACCATCATCCCCCTGAACTGGCATGGTGTAGAAGTAGTCGGCAATGTCCAAGTTTGGTTTTTGCTGCTCTTTGTACTCAGAGGGCTGGTAGCCGAACGGCAGCAACAAAGTCTTGTTCTCCTTCAGCAGATTGGAGAGGAAGCGAGTGTAGGATTTGTGGAGCCATTCTTGAATGCTTCCGCGGTTGTCTGAACCGCTGTCATCACGAGCCCAGATAAAGCTGAGAATTTGGCAGGGCGTGGCTCCCGGCTCCAGGAGGAACCCCGTCACAGCTTGCATGGGGGTCGAATCATATGCAAAGAAGTCTATGTAGAGGGTGGGCGCAGTAGTTGCTGCAGGAGGCATGCCTTGCCACAGCTTCCGAAGCAGTCGGCCATGCATTTGCGAGCCTGAGAACTGCTGTTTTAATCTTTGCGCCTTGCTCGTGACTCCTGCAGAAGTCACGTCGGGCACCACCCAGTCTGCCATAGAGCTTGCTGGCACGTCCGTGACGCATCGTCTGACCCAAGCATTGCTTTTGGCCCAGCTGCTCAACAGCTCACCCTCCCCATCTTTGCTGTTGGAGATTGCTATGGCCAGCTCATGGCACCCAGGTCTCTTGGAGTGCGTTGCCAGCGAGGATTCAGAAAGAACAACCTGCAACTTGCGGACCTGCAATGCAGTCGACTCGGCCCTCAGCTCTGCATCGACGGTGCTCATGGCAGCCTCGATGTCCCCTTCAAGGTACGTTGACCCCCAGACACCTGTGTTCGGGAGGTGCACCAAGGCGACTGCACTTCGGGGAAATGCGGCTGCATTCTCACTGATGCTGCCGATGCAATCCAAAATGTACTTGGAATGCGCTGTCCCTAACTTCGTAAGGTCAGCCAGCATGACCAAGTTCACAGAGCTTTCCTGAGAATATTATTCGGACACACAGTCACCTACTCACAGTTCAATCGACACTATACAGCTGCAAAGATTTGTCTAGCTTAAGTGTCATCCACACCATTCACCTGGGCAAAGGTTGTAAGCTGCTTCTGCACCTCGGTTGTGATGTACTCTTTCCTGGAGATGCGTACGACCGGAGCCCAGGTTTGGAGGCATTTCTCCGCAGCCTCTGTCATCATCCTGGCCTCGTTCACAAGGAAGGCTCTTGCATCAGCACTTGACCTGTTCTGCCAAGTTGACATCGACTCCTGGAATAGCTCAAACTGCTTCACTTCTTTGGCGAGGGACACCACCATTTTTTTCAACTTTGCTTGCTCCATGGACATTGTCGCTTCCTCTTCTTGCATGGCCAAACTTTTGACGCTGGTCGATGTGCCATCCAGGACTTGGATCAGCCGCAGCTCCTCGATGTTGAAGTCACTGGACTGTGTCTTCAGCTTCTCCAGGAGTTCTTTGTCGTACTGTCCTTTCAAGAAGGCAGACTCGGCCCGAGCATACTTGACACCCAGTCGCTCCTTCAGGTCCTTTTCGAAATGGCCCCAGAGGCAACACAAGTCAAAAGCCATGTCCGGGGCAGAGTCCCGAAGTTTGACCTAGCAAAGAATAGAACAGAAAAGAAGACTCAGAGTCTAGAAAACATCATATAGTTATGAAATTTGTAAGTTTGGCGAAGATGCACTGCGGAAACTGAGATTGATGGGCTTCTTGCTCGCAGCCATTGCAGCTTTCAAGTTCTTGAGGAAGATTGTAATGAGGCGCTTGACAAAAAGCAAGTTCTTGCTTGGCAGGGCAAGCAAGATAGTCTGCCAAAGCGTGGGAGTATTCGGAGGATGCGTCACTGTGCGACCCACATAGGATGTCAGGATCTTCAGTGTCAGGGCAGAGTCTTTCTGCTTGAACTGGTCCCAGTGACATTCCACTGCGCTGACAAACTCCTGTTCCTGCGCCGGAAGCAGGACCAGCATTCGAGCTTCCAATTCACTCAGGCGTGCGCATTCCACCGAAGAACCAGCATTGAAAGTATCCAGGAAGGTCTTCAGTCCAGTAGCATAAGACACGCCCTGAAGTTGGAAGTTCTTGAGCAGGGTCTTGTAAAGCTGAATGCAGTCTGGGCGAGTTGACTCTGCAACAATGAATTTTGCACGGATGGATCTGCTGAGTGTGTCCAGCTTGCCCTCTGATGTCAGGTTCTGCTCCACAACAACTTTGATGACCAAGCAGGCCCAAACACAATCAGCAATGACCTTCAACTCTTCATCTGGCAGCTTGGCAGCCAAATGGCAAACAAGCTTAGCTGCCACAGACCTCGTGAGTCCCAAGCTGGGAATGAAGGCAAAGGGCTCCTTAAGGGCGGCAACGCTGCACATTCAAGCTATTTGCAACCTGGGCTAGATGATCCTAGAGCCTCCTAGAGCTCATATTACACGACTGCTGCTGGCAAAGATCAATCTTCTGCCCTGCCAATGACCCAGGAGGCGCAACAACCACAATCGGCGAGCGTGCACTCATGAAGGGAGAATCCAAGAAGTTCTTTGTTGTTTCCAGCACATTCACCAACTTTGGTCGAGCTCGGATGCCTTCCAGAGACAAATGCCAGCAATACAAGTGGAGCTCGGCATTCTGACCTGTGACAGCAGGATACAGACTGGCCACTTCAAGTGCAGAGCCAGAGGGTGCCAGCTTGTGCAACCGCATGTACAGGTCTTCAAGAGATGTCATCAGGTCGGGCAACTTCATGAAGTAGTCCACAACATGCTGGTGCTCAGTCGCAGCCTTCTCCTCAATAGTGGGCACAAAGTTTCTCATCTCAGCATCAAGCTTCTTGAGGATGGCAGCCTTCTGAATTGCAGCCATGGTCCTGAGATCCAAGAGTTGTCTTCTAAAATCAAAACAGGATGCAACCC